AAAAAAAAATTAGCCAACCAGGATCTTATTTTATCAGATTGATAAATAACCTACCTTACTGTAATGAAGTATTCAAAGTTAAAATGACTGAATATTCTTAATATTCTTAACAAGTGTGTTTCTTAACCCATGCTAACTACTGTTTCCTCCCGTGCGTGATCGCAAATGGGTCTATCCGATATGCAAGCATATGTAGCTTAATTCCCGTACTTCGTGCAGCGTGAACACTACTTATAACGTCTAGCATTCGATCAAAATATTTATTATCGTCGATGAAATTGCGGTGAGGTATATGCAATAGTGTGTGAGCCATTTTAACAGGATTGTTATCAATATTTAGTTTGATCATACTCACCAAAATCGTGTCGCTGTATTAATGGAATTAACTTGAAATGGACAACTCGCCTTAGCCCTGACATTCTGGTTAGTACACGTCCAAGTGTATTCACCTTTCTCATCGGATATTTGGCTATTTTGGCACATGTGAGTTTTGCATTCTGTGTAACCAATGGTAACAGTAGTTCCACCGTCATGTGTGGTTGTAGCAGTAGTTCTACCGTCGTTGATTGTGGAATCTACATAAAGAGGTTGTTTACATTATCACCGAGATAAATCAAGGACACTAGATATAATAATCAAATACTTGTCACCGTTAATGAGAGAAAACAAACATATACCTGGCTAGGATGAGATGAACATTGCTTATATCACATACATTTGAATGGGGGATAAGCAGAGTAATATATACCTGATAGGTTTAGATGAGTTGAGTACAGCTGATAAGCGGAAATGAGTGAAATATTGCTTATATAATATTACCCTGGCTTAGGGAATGATCAAGACAATATATATATCTCCTTTGCTGGAATGAATGAAATATTGTTTATCTACCCAACCGTATTGTCAATGAGTGTGAAGTATTTCATATTGTTTTTGTACAACATATATTGTCACTTGCATACTTGGGTAGAACAATAACTATGCCAGCATCTCTCTTCTATCATGACAAGAAAAAAAATAGCCAAATTGAAGCGTGGAAAAATTACCCAACTTTCTGTTGCCAAAATGACACTGTTCCACATCCAGTAGCGTAGTATCTAGATTTAAAACTATTGCATTATATCATATATTAATAGATATTCAAGTATTCAAGTAAGTGTTTTTTTGAAACAAACATTATTGTACCTGTAGATCCAGTTGTGGAATGCCTAATTCCAGGCAAACATAGTGATATATTGCCACATGCTATAATATTTGCTTGGCAGGGATGATGTTCATAACGACTTGAAGCACATATATATTTTATTTCAATGGAAGTCATTTCTCCCTGCATAGATATCCAGGTCTGACAATCATCATACCTGTATAGTAAAATGAAAATGGCAGTGTTCAATGGTCACAACATATTTTGTAATTTTTTGTCTCTCTCTCTAACAAACGAAAAATCAAATGACAGCTGCTCTTTAAAGTAAGAAGAATTCAATTTCAGACTCAAATTATAGTTTACATAATGTCCATTCAATATGCAATTTATAGCAGGACCTTCCCAAGATGCATTGGCAATTTTTTAAATAAATGCAATTAATAACTCACAAGATATCACCAAGTAGCAAATAACAAACATGCGACTAATGTTGAAATTAGGTACTACTGTATGCATTTAACTGGGTATATTTAATAAAACCCATGAACGCTGCATGAACAATTAGGAAGTAGAATCGATTCGCATTACGAAACAATTTCAACGTCGCTGTTTTTGTTCTGATGCAACTTTACCTCATGGTTTTAGCCATGCTAATATTCACAGTTAAAGACGACAATCTCAAGTATGCAATGTGTCAATGTTTTCTATATGTATACTTACTCTAGTTTTATATGGTATGGTTCAGTGAGATCATTTGGCATCTCAGTGTCTATTAATAATCTGCAATAAAAATTACATTGCATTAACATGTGTTTGTCGATTACTATCAAATTATTAAACAAGTTTAGTAGCTTTCTTTTATCTGTCTTCAGCATCACAGATTAGATATCCTGTTTACGCCATACAGCAACTTATGCAAAATATATAATATATTAGCGTGTATTCTATTAGGAAGGTGAAATTGGTAAACCTGAATTTGAATACGCAACCCTAATAAAGAAGTGTCACTACTGATTTCCCCCAAAATTCATTATCCTCATATACATACTTACAAATTGAAATTATCAACAAACTCGTCACCATTTATACAACACAGATCTATGTGGTGTTGAGAGTTACTACATTCGGCCGAAGGGTCTTTTTCTGCGGATTCAATACTGCCTGTTGATGATTGAAATTCACCATTTTTAAAGTTGCAAATAATTTTATTTGATAAACAGGAGTAGACAAATAACATAAGCATAAAGGCACACTTCTTCCAGGATAGCAAAAGGAAACGAATCATTGTAGCCTCCACCAATTTAACCATTCTTTTTAACTATAAGAACAAAATGAATTTATATGTTTGTGGATATATGGGGTTTGCATTAGTGTGTTAACTACCGTCATAGTTCTTGATCTATACATAGAGAATATAATGTTTCAATTCAATTCAGAAGACGTTCATATCTTCTTATTATTTTGAGGTGATTAGAAAAACACCAAAACTGTCGATATTAATGACCGATTCCCTTCATATTCGGTGAATACATATATTGGGACATGGGATCATATGTTTCTGAACAATACAGTTCATACTTTGATTATAAATTCATTTATATCCCTGCACTTAAACTGAACCACTTCTGGTCATTTTGCTCTGTTTGTGGGAGATAGACGACAATAACACAAAATGCATGCTAACTAAAAATAATAACCTTCCAGTTTCAAAGAGAAGGTACATACAACCAATACAATTGGTAAAACCACTCTGCCATAACAAAGTATGTCATTAGAGAGGGTACGAAAACAGTTTCAAAGAGAAGATACATACAACCAATAAAATTGGTAAAACCACTCTGCCATAACAAGGTATGTCATTGGGAGAGGGTACAAAAACAGTTTCAAACAGAAGGCACATACAACCAATAAAATTGGTAAAACCACTCTGCCATAACAAGGTATGTCATTGGGAGAGGGTACAAAAACAGCACTAGTGCAAATGGCCACCAAAACGGTTACCGAGTATGAATATTGCACTAATCATGCTGTACTCAATCAAAGTAAAACCACCACTGGGTCAAGTAAATAAAATAAATATGCATGTACAGAAGTACTA